TGAGAGCTTCGCACATACCTTTTATAGAGGATAGAAACTGACTTGCCGAAGCATCATTACACGAAGTGCTTGTAATGGTAAATAGACACATACATTAGATTCTTGTGAGTAACTGTTCATAGATCTGCTTGAAGTTGAAAGCAAAACCCCCACGGTTTGTAATTTTAGTATCCCATGAGCTTTCCAAAGCTCTGGTTAAACATTCCGGGAATACCATCTTCTAGATATGTCCGAGCTTAGAGCTGCCTCAGAGAAGTCTTCTCATCTGTACAACTTTATGTAATTAGTGAGAAATTAATCAATCTTACATTATTCATCCATTCATTTATGTCTCAAGTATTACTGGTTCATAGAAACCCTAACATTGTATTAAAAGTAATTGAATTAGTCCACCTCTGTGTGTGAGCACATAGTGTCACCTCATCTGAGACAGCCGTGAACCATAGCTGATATAATCACAGCAGTCCCATGTGGAAGTGTTAGCAGCACATTATCAGACGTTGTAAATCAGTTTATAGATTAATCAAATTTATCCCCCACATTTTAAATAGAAGCCGCTCTCCTCCCTCCTCATTGAACCAGCGTGGTTTGCCCATTTCCAGGGCACTCAGGTGTGGCCCCACCTCCACACTCTGTTAATAAGGACATAATGGCTCTATATCTGCTCCCAGGCCATATGAATTGAATCAGTAGTGTGATTTAGTCAGCGGCTGTGCCCGTCTAGTGCCTCAATTTCGCTCTGGCTTTGGATGTATCAAAATCAAGGCCTTATCTTGACCAGGTTAGAAAGACGAGTAAAATAAAGTATGGTACGTTGCGCGTCAAGAATAAAATAGTTACGTCCATTCCAAGAATTTCTAATGATTCAATTATGATGGCTCTTATTATACAAAACATAGTTATAATTAGTAATTTCACACAAAGATGTCACTGATGTTATACACTTTATTCACTGAGCAGCCGTCAACTGTGATCTCGTGGTGCTTAATGATAAGACATATAAACATGAAAGAACATGACAAAGCCTGGCCTACACACTGCTATCTCATTAAGTTGTACTGTGGCCCACTGCCAGAGCTAATGGAAGCACTGTGAGTGTGAGGTTGCTTTGACAGTCCTTTCTTTCTTGTCCCTTGTCTTATTGGTTCTCTGTAAACACTATTGAGTCAAATTAGCGTTTGTGATAAAAACAGCTCTGCTGTTCAAAGCCATCCATAAGTGACTGTAATTGTCTTTCTCAGATTACATTTCTTTCCCTCATCCCCTACTTTTGCAGTTCTTTGGCTCCTCTGAACATTGCCTCTGAACTGACAGCTTGTGTTATGCAGAATTACTTTGTAGATCTGAAAAGGTAGTTTTCCCCATTTCAGTGACTGCTTGTCATGGACTGCACTTCTGGAAAGAGCCATCATTCCTTGTCACCAGCACCTTATACGGTGGGCACATAGTCGAAACCCTCTGATCTGTTGGTTGCACTTTCTGACACTTCAGGTACAAGTAAAATTTATAACAAGCAAAGAAAATATGACAAAGTGTTGCAAGGTGAACATTTATAGTGGTACAACGCTTTTGGAGAAAAACAAAGCTTCTATAGAAAACTTCCAATGACATAACAAAGTGATGAATACGATGGGACAGAAAGATGGAGAGGTGGGTGAGGAGATAAAGCTGGTGGTAGCAGAAGAGGGACCGGCACAAGGGGAATGGGAGATGAATAACTGTTTGACAGGTGGAATGAAAAAGGCGCATTCAGAGGCAGCTCAGAGGCGTGTGTTGAGTGTGCATGCCGTGGTGTGGCGTAGCACTGTGCTTGGGTCATACATCACGCTAATACAGCAGGAGGACATAGGCTAGCACAGCGCTATGCAGAGCAGGGGAAAATAATGTGCTGTGCTTGCACCCGCTCAATCTGATTGAATCACACAGCACTGGGCCTACATTTAGTCACCCCCCACAAGCACACTTAATAAATCTCCTCAGGTCTTGGATATTCTTGGATTATTCCAAAAACTGGAAATACAGAATAGACTCATAGTTTTCCATCATGAGAAGTTGGCCACTGTGGAGTCATTGCTATCACATCACAACAATACTGTTGTAATATGATGAGGGAAGTGCAGTGAGTGCAATTAAAAACAGATTATGCTTTTGGTCTATTGGATTCTAATTCAAACTGTACATGTTCATTTGAAAAAGGAAAATTGAACAACATCTATATTTTTCCTGATATAAAGCTTGTCTTGTGCTGTTCAGTATAAAGTCTATGGTGATAAATGGTTTTCTATCATTTATTAAAGCATCACCATCTAAAACAAAGTTGTATGCAATACTTGTTCACTCTTTTATTCTTCCAATCATGTCAGTGTGTCAGTTCTATAGTATTATTGTTTTAACTATGTAACTGAAAATTGTTATTGATAATCAATGCATCTAGACATTATTATAGTTGTCATTCATTAATTTTCTACCACGTTATTAATCAATTTCTGGGTCGGTGGATGGCAATCAGAGCTGCCATCCAATAGTCATAGCATAGCACCAGTCCATCACTGATCCATAGCCTTGGTGTATTAATTGGGGCTTCGGGCAAAATGTGGTTAAGTGTCTTGCCCAGGGACGCAACAGCAGACATCTGTGGGAGCAGTTGGAGTGTGTCTCATGGGGAGATCGACCCCACAACCTTCAGGTCCAAAGGCCAATGCTCTACCAACTGAGCGACAGTGGCTCAAATATGATATTATATCTCTATTTGGCTTTAATAAAGCTGAAATAAAGCCACCTCAGGATATCCTAATAATCAACCTAATTTCTACTATAACATGGGTAGACTGTACATTGATTTTATCCTGGGGGTGGAGATTTGTCACAGGTTTTTTCTATGGTTAAATCAAATTAACCTCCTTTGTGTTTGCCTTGATAAATTCTTGATAAATTCTTTATTAGAGTATGAAATACATGGACAAGTGGCCTGGGGCGATGGGTGGAGCTTTGAAGGAATGTGCATTTGGACAAATGCCATTATTTTAGATAATACAAGTATAAATAATTTAGCGCTTCACATGTGTGAACGAATATAGCTTTCATTTACTCGGGCTCGACTCTGTGCTCCCCGCTTGACATGCCTTTGATCACAGAGGCACGAGTCAAAGCAATCCTGATGAGGGCTCAGGTCTCTTTTACATTCTGACATTTACATTAGCTGCTGTTATGTTCAGCCCTCATAATTAGCTGTGTGGCTGTGGTTGTCTGAAAAACAATAATTTGACTGGGCGTACTATATGTTATCAGACTGTCGCTGATTCTGAAGAACCCAGGCTATGGGCTGCATGCCAATCACACCTAGCGGCACGCTGCTGATGTGATATTCAGGCTTTTGCAATCCTGTCTGGACCAGGGCTAATTGGCCTGAGTGCCACCTGCTTGCATTTTCATCAAATTCAGTCTTGTGCTGTTTTACATTTACTTCCCCCTTTAGGGACGTAGTGCTGTGAACGGACCCTGTTCTGATGTGCCATGGCCATCCCAGGAGACCGCTAATTAGAGTGGAGGGCTTGCACCGCAATCACACATTTAAAATGCACGCTGAGCTGGTGATGAGTGTCGTTTAGACTGGCCCTGCTGTGCTCTCTAACCTTCAGGCAAAAAAAAGCTGATTGAATTGAGTTGTCATTGATGGGTGGCTTCTTCAGATGTGGGTGGGCTCCTGGGATCTTTCCCTGGACCAAGTATTGGATTCTCTGTGCTAATAAGGGACAGTCCACAGGAAGGTGGAAATGGTTGGGTGCCCTCTTTGAAAGCTGACCTGAGGGGCTGTTGCAGGTTGGTAGGTTGGGCTATAGGTGAGTCTCAATGTTGACTTGGATGCAATTTTCATTATTGTCCTGGGTTCACCTCAGTGCTCCGTTCATAAGAGTTCAAAGGCCTGCGTGTGCCAACTTCCACAGGGGTTCAAATTGAGGTTTCAAAGGGTGCGAAAGGGCCCCTCAGGCGGTGAACAGGTCCTTTTGAGAATGCTGGTATTTGACAGCGAGCGCGTAATTGCTCCATAGAGACCATGAAGATCGAGAATCATCAAAATAAGGACTTCTGAGAGGCACCAATCTCAATAGAAAAATCTGCTGCTGAAGGATATACTAAAGACCTTCAGAGAAGAGGCTAGGAAACTGCATTTACTGTATATTGTATTTTAATAGCATTTATCTATGCAGAAATTTCCTCTGTCTTCCTCGGCTCCTCTGGGCTTTAAATCCCAGCCCCTCTGGACACCTTCATCCATCACAGCAGTGTCTTTTCAAGTATTATTTTTTTATTTTTATGTGCATCGCTTTGTGTTTGTGTCACTGTTTGTGCATTAAAAAACATAAGCTGGTGTTGCCTGGCTATTGGCTCCCTCGGGGTTTGCATTGTGGCGCTCTCAGCTCAGGGCATAATGTTCAAAGAGCCCTGCAGATTTTTGCCCAGTTGAAAGCAGAGCGTTGGTGATTCCCAGCAGTGGTTATGTCTTTTTCTGTTTTCAGAATTAAAGAGGGAGTCGAGATCGGATTGTGTCTAGAAGTTAGCAATGTGTTTTTAATCTTCCAGATACTTTTTCAAAGCTTAAGTGCCTGTGTTGTCTGCATGCTGTGTTGTAAATATAACTCTGAAATGAACCAACGTGTCAATTACAGCCGTTGTTTGTCTGGCTTTAGTAAAAGTAGTTTCTGAGTGAAGGGCTGCTGTAGGAGTCATGTGGCAACATTTGCAGTTGTGTAACAGTGTGGTGTCTGCAGGTCAGACAGGTCAAACTGCAGTGATGGGCGCTCCTTTGAAGGCTGACCTAAGTTTCTCTCCTGCACCTTTTACTCTCTATGATATATGCCCAATGTGTTGCTGTTCTGCTAGGAAGAATAGATGAGGTTCTACAACATTTTCAGTTTGTTTTAGTTAGCAATTAGCTGTGAGATTTCTGGTGTGCAGAACAGTGATATTTGACTCGCCAAGACCTTCATGGTTCAATGCATTCAGAAAACATCCTTCTCCATGAGCATCCTCTTGGGCGGGACCCAGTTCTTGACCCATGGTGATCCCCTGACCAGAACTGCCATGTCCTTCAGACTCGCAAGCTTTGACATTTTGGATGGTGACCGGTAAAATCGGGACAGACTGACAACCCCTGCCAGACTCACTGGAATGCAAATAGAGGGATCTATAGAGATTATACGGGCTGCTTCTCAAGTAGCCCTGCTCTTTTGCTGTCCCCAATGGCTGACTGCTTGGTCAGATTCTTTTTGAAGCAGTGAAATCCTCAGCTTTACTCATAGTCAGACTATAGCCCCTTTTATACGCGCTGTGGACACGCTGCAAAGCAATTAGCAAAAAAACAGCCAGGCTCCTTCAGAGCGTTCAGGTGGCTACTGAAAACAATGTAGTTCTAGTGCCCGGCCAGTAGTGGGCAGTGGAAATTTATAACACGACACGCGTGACCCCTAACAGTTAACCACTTCCTCAACAACATCCTCCTCAGGCCACTGCACTGATGTGAAAATATGCACCAACATCATTCTGCATTTAACAGCAGCTGCGGAAATGGAAACTGAAAGGAGCTTTGTGTGATTTCGTTTGAACGGATAAAGGAGTAGGGGCGACAGTAGCTCAGTTGGTAGAGCATTGGCCTTTGAGCCTGAAGGTCGTGGGTTCGAGCCCACCTCAAGACCTACTTCACAACTCCCACTGATGACTGCTGTCGTTGTGTCCTTGGGCAAGACACTTAACCCCACTTTGCCTGAAGCCCCCACTGAAAGATCTCAGCTCCTGTGGACCCACCACCTGCAGGAGGATCAGTGAGGGGCTGGTGCTCTGTGGACTGGGTGCAGCTCTGACTGCCACCCCCCCGACCCAGAAATGGATTAAGGGGAAGAAAATGGATGGATGGATGGATAAAGGAGTAGAATTCTCCTCTGTTTAGCGCTCGAAGCACAGGTGTACCCGCTGCCATTGACGGCCCCTGCGCATATCCAAATGTACGTGCAGGAAAGTGGTGAGGTCATAGCAGGCAGAGAATTCACACCTTTTTTCTTCACGCGGGTGTGAAAGAGCCCCCGAGCGGCATATCTGTTCTGTTCCACTCTGGAGGTTGTTACTCAAAACTTGCATTTTCACCCTTCTGGAATACCATCTCAATGTAAACGGGAGGCCGAACCGATACCCATCTCTAACGTTTTACAGTCACAGCGTCTCCATATGAACAGGGCCAATATTGAATTGTGTGGTACCATTGAGGAGTTTTAATGGAAAGTTATAAATGCAATGTCAATGAATGTGTAGCCATATCTATTCAGGCCAGACACAACTGGGACACAACACTTTGCTTTGTGTCCTGAACTGTATTTATTTTGTGAAGTTTTTATGCAGCTGGAACAAAGGCTATAGCTGTGCCACAGCATGCTTTCTATAATGCATAAATGAATACTCAAAGTGAGAGCAGAGCCGTATACTTTTTCTTACTGTATTTCTTGGACTTTAAGTCTCACTTTGTTCATAGTTTGACTGGGGGTGCGACAGGAACATACTATTATGTTTATAACTTTTCTGCTTGTTTGCTGCTTCACATTTCATTTGGCTTGGATGCGCCATAGTTTTGTTATGGTGATTTGGTGAATTAGAGTGAGAAGTGGTACTACAGTTTTAAAAACTTTACTTTTAATGACACCATCAATTTTTACTAGTTAGTACTAGTCAATTTAGTTCCAAATGATCAATACCTACTGTACTCAATTAAGTACTTTCTATATTATTCTTATTTTTTAATTTTTGGTGACCCTAATGTGCCACCTGTTTCTTTCCATCGTGATGCATGTTTCTGTGCTGCGGCTGAAACACAGATTTAATGAACTTTATTGATTGTCGTGTTTCCGTCCTAAAGAGCAGATTTCAGATGGCAGATTCTTTTGTGAATTTTCCCATATTCCAGCACAGACTCTGTGTGTATATCAGTGATGTATATTTGCTTGGAATTCTCTGAGGTTCAGGACATCAAATTGTCCTTTGCTGAATGTGTTCTTCTGCTCTGGTTCGTCCCTGTTCAATCACAGTTAGGCAGTTCAGTGTGGGCTCCTCTGTATAAGCCCATGTCACTCTCCTGAGTCCACAGACAGCACCGAGAGGATGGGGATTTGTCTTTCTTTCCTCTTCACTTATCTCTTTTGTTTGTCCTGGTTTCCATAGACGTGCAGCAGCCCTCCATTCTCTCCTCAAGCGAAACTAAGTGCCGCTGCTACTCTCGACCTGCCAGCTCTAAATTGGCAGCCTGACCTTCTTTTTCTTCCTCAGGGCGTCTGCACAATGCCATACCTCTACCGTCGAGGGGGAAAAATGCAATTAAGAGGTGACATAAACACTGAGCACCAGTTGTAGCGGTGCCCAAGAAGAAGGGAGGGGCCAGGCAGCTGCCATTGTGACATGCATGCAGATAGTGCCCTATTAATTGGACAATGCACTTAGTTTGCAGCATGACACGGGGTGAACATACTGTGGCTGAATGAGCTTTGACAGGAGACTGGTGTCCGACTCTGCTCTGGCTGGTGTAAGCATAAAGAGCGGCTCACCTTTGACCCCTGTGTTTTGACTCATCGAGGGCAATTAGTGAACAATATTGTTGTTTTTGTACGACAAAGGAAAGTGCCAGCTTTACCTCTGTACATAACTGCAATATCAGGTAACAAATATATTGTGAAATTATGTCAAAAGAACCAACTTAAACTTTTGCACATTTTGTCATGTTTACAAATACATATAAAGAATTGATTTATTATTTTTTAAAGACTATGACAAAGTAACTGACAACTATGAAGTAAAAGCAAAATAGTAAATGATTTTATTTTAAACACAAATGGAAAAGTTATGTTAAATAGCCATTTGTACACATAACTTCTCATAACAATGCTCACATCTTGCCCTAATAATTCAATAGAGCCCAACTTTGTGTAGTCCAATCTACAGCTGTTCTGGGATTTGCGAGCTGTTATTGTCATCTCAAGATAAACTCACAACTGCAGATTGTGTGATTGCGTACACGTTTGTTATTTGTCTTATATATATTAATTAGGGCTGTCAAAATTATCGCGTTAACGCACGTTAATTAATTTTTTTCAATAATCGCGTTAAAAAAATTAACGCTATTATTGAAAAAAATTAATTGACGTGCACATATTGACGCATGCCCAAGCATCCCATAATAACACTCAGAATCCGAGTTTTACAAGAATACACACGTGACCGCGGGGCACTTGTTGTTCCCTGTATGAACTATGCGAGCTGAGGACGCTCTGGACAGCGGTTCCCACCTCCAGCGGGAGGTAACGTCATATGCGTCACACGCACAGAACTATTCTCTGCTTGTAATGTGCGTGTCTTTGCGTGACCGGTGCACACAAAAAATACAGCGCAGAATCTGGACAACGGAGCCTCAGTCTCCTCCGTGTCTTCTCCCAAAGCGCACTCGCTAAATTAAAGATGGGGTACCTAATTTTCCCTTCCACTACCAGTTCATGTTGGTTGTGCCAAAAAAAAGTAATGGTGTGAGCAAATCAAACTGATTTAATGACATTCTGCATTTCAATGTCCCTCATCTGTAACAAACAATAGTTTTAGTCTGAGTCTAATAACACAATACATTAAATCCATATAAAATGGCATTCATATTATTAACATTCTGTCTTTCTGTTTAGACTCAGACCAAAACTGAGTCTGATTGATTTGATTATAGCAAAAGCATAGTGTACGTGTACGATTAATTAAGATTAATTAATTTTTAAGCTGTAATTAACTCGATTAAACAATTTATGTTAATTTCAATACATTAATCATGAATATTTTATTGCACTAAAAATGTTAATGCAAGCCGGAACCTTCCTTCCGTTTATGTGTTTCTAGTTCACCTATTTATGTGACGCATGACCTGCATCCGCTGGCAATAACAGTGATGGACGATGAAAAAGACGCTTGAAATGGCCCGCTGAGGGATATTTTTTACTTTAAAGGAATAGTTCACCGTTTGTACATACTGACATATGTTCTTACCTTACCTTAGACTAGTTAATACGTACCTGTCTGGTCTTAGTCCGTGCGCTCTGTCATGCAAACGGAGCAAAAACTGGAGCACAACCGCAGCCTCCTCTGTATATTTTGTAGCACCAAAAGGTAGCTCCCGCTAGAAGCTACCGAACTCTTCCAAGTGTTCCCTATTAAATTTATATAGTTACGTGACGTGTTACACTGCAAAGTATAGTAACACAGAAATGTAACAGTCGATTTTCTCAGCGGATAAAACGGGTACTATATTGTGAGGCGTAGTAATCTGAGGTGCGCTACGTCCGCGCACTAACTTCTCTCCGGAGACTTCTCTCTCGCTCACTTCCGTCAATAGAAGCAGCGTGACTTGTAGTACACACAGTAGCAGCGAGAGAGAAGTCTCCGGAGAGAAGTTAGTGCGCGGAGAAGTTAGGAGCGCTACGTCCGCGCACTAACTTCTCTCCAGAGACTTCTCTCTCGCTGCTACTGTGTGTACTACAAGTCACGCTGCTTCTATTGACGGAAGTGAGCGAGAGAGAAGTCTCCGGAGAGAAGTTAGTGCGCGGACGTAGCGCACCTCAGATTACTACGCCTCACAATATAGTACCCGTTTTATCCGCTGAGAAAATCGACTGTTACATTTCTGTGTTACTATACTTTGCAGTGTAACACGTCACGTAACTATATAAATTTAATAGGGAACACTTGGAAGAGTTCGGTAGCTTCTAGCGGGAGCTACCTTTTGGTGCTACAAAATATACAGAGGAGGCTGCGGTTGTGCTCCAGTTTTTGCTCCGTTTGCATGACAGAGCGCACGGACTAAGACTAGACAGGTATGTATTAACTAGTCTAAGGTAAGGTAAGAACATATGTCAGTATGTACAAACGGTGAACTATTCCTTTAAGAAACTTCCTGATGGAATGGAGGAAAAGAATAGAGTTATATGCAAACTGAGCAAAAAGGAATTGGCGTATCACAGAAGTAATTCAAGCCTCAAGTACCATCTGAACGCAAAGCATATCGGGGCAAGCATAGGTGCCGCTAATGTTTTTGAATGACTTGTCAATGTATGGTTTATGATTAAATTGCGATTAATTTTTATGAATTAATTACAGATTCTGTAATTGTGAGTGAATCTTATCTTCACAATACTATAGTTTAAATATTTGAATTACAACATACTGTAACCATTTTGGCTATACATTTAATTTTTCATTATTGTGCTATGGAGGGATGTGCTCTTTCCAAATTGAAAAAACTCCCTCATACCTTTAAGCGTTACATTACAAATCATATCATTTCCATTAGCAGCGATACTGTATTGAAATAATTATCCTCTTTTACAATTGACAATACAATTCTGCATTAGAAGAATCCCTCCTAGCTTCTCTGGAGTAGAAGAGGCCCATTAAAATGGTCACTGAAGGGAGAGCACTGTTTAATTGCCAGCTAAGGTGTGTGACATTTGGAGCAGCACATCGAATCTGGCCCAGAGTCCAAAAGGTGTTGTGAGCCGCTGAGTAATTACTGCAGTCTCTCCCGGCAGCGGCTGTAATAAGAGCTCAGGCGGAGAGGGGATCCACTCCGGCACCACACCCCAAGTCTGACGGCAGTTTCACTTTTCATCAGAAGAGCTTGTGATCAGGGTGAATTGTCTTTATTGCCCAATCCAGGTTTTAATTGGTCTTATATTCATTGGTTAACTGGAAGATGAGAAAATAGTCAGGAGCAAGCTGTTATTTTTCAAAATGCCAACAAGACTTTGTTCGGTTTCTGAAAGGTCTGCAATATCGTTTTCATTAAAACCTTTTCAGAGGTCATTGTAAAGCTTGAGATAATCATATCTTAACATAATTTTTTTTACTATATATTGTAAGTGTATTGGTCTAAATAAAAGTATAATAGTACAAGTTTTGTATATATATTATTTTAAGCATTGCCTTTAAACACCTAAACTACTGACCAAGAATATGAACATGAACAAAACCTGGAAAACTTAAGCTAAATGTTTATATAAACAACCATGATTAATTAACATTAATTATGTTGTCTCGCCACCTACAAAGTATCTCATTTCAAAATGTAGAAAGAGTAGAAAGTACACTTATTTTATTTTGTTTTAAAAGTAAGGAGTAAAAGTACTAAGTAAAAGATACCAGAAAAAAAACTACTTAAAGCAGGGGTGCTCAAAACGTCGATCGCGATCTACCAGTCAATCGCAAAGGTAGTATTGGGAGATCGCATTACATAAAAATAAAAAATAAAAATCCGTTCATGCATTTGTGTGTGGACAGAGATAACCGGAGTTTTGCGTTTTCGCACGCCACAGTATGCTCCCAAAACAACAACAACAAACAAAACGTGCGACCTCTGATCACTGAAGCATGGGTCATACTGCCTTAAAAAGTGTTCACTGCTGCAGCGGTTCACAGCAGCGATCCTCGCTCCACCTCAGAGAGCAGCAAAGTGATCACAGGGACTCAGGCTCCAAAACAACCAAAACAGGAGCTAGACCAGGATCAAACCAGGGCTGAGGACTGGGGTCATTGCTTGTAAACATATGTCTTTACCATGGATCTATAATAACGTCTTCACCCTGAGTTTCTACTATGACTGTAAGAGCCGCTACAGAACGAAAGTACGGTTCTGTGAATCCTGGATGACCGCCAGAGGCGGTGCTTAAATGCGAATTATTTCATAAATCATGCGGTTTTGCATGTACATCAACATACATTGTAGATATAAAGAATCCTCAATATATTTAGAAATAAATATATGTTTTGCATTTTTGTAGTAAGTAGATCATTTTGACTTGATCATTTTATAAGTAGCTCGCAAGCTGAAAAAGTGTGAGCACCCCTGACTTAAAGCTATGCTGGATTGTGCATCAAAACTCACCACGCTGACCACACATACAGCCACTGGGTCAAATATTATACTAAAATATGTTACATTATATATTGTTCATGTGTATTATACGTATTTTTAGACAAGCATGACATTTAGTAAAATGGCATGTTTATATATTATTCAATTCAACCTTAAACCTTTATTTCAGTCTAATTTAAAACAGACAGACACAAAAGACATTTGATCAAAGCAAAAGGTGTGTAAATGCACAAATGGATCTTTATGATTAAATTGTATTTTGTTTTTTTTGTGAAAAATACCAAATAAAAACATTATTTTGACTGATGAAAACCTTTTACATGCTCCTTATCTGCACGTGCAGCCTTGTAAACTGCTTTCTCCTCATCTGGTATATGTGGTGGTTATGT